TGGAAGAGAAAAGCACCCCCCACACCCATCAAGCACAGCACATATGGTTAGAACATCTCAGTGCCATCAGCCAAGCCTGCTCTGTTGATCTCAAATCACAGGGGCCTTATTACCTTGTCATGATAAAGGAAAGCTGACACTCAGAAGCTCAGGTCCGGCTTATTTGTCAGGTCAGTTATTGAAAGGCTTCTGTAGCTTAAGCAGTCAGGAAAAGGAACTTGGGAAGGTCTTCCTGAAAACAGACTAGGAGGAAAGAATTCCAGATGAAATGACTGTTACTGCACATGCTGAGATTTCACCTGATCTGTGCAAATAAGTTGGCTCATTACCTCTTATCTCCATCATCTCTCAATTTGGCAAAAATTGTTTTGAAACTCTTCAAAGGCTTGTAGCTGAGAGGTGAGTGTGTTCCATTTGGCTTACCACTGATGCATTGCATGGCCGCATGGGAAATATATTTCTGCAGCTCGGTAAATAAAACAAATCACCAGGAGGGCATTCATTCGAATTGTTTCTCAAAATAAATCTGGCCAGTTTCAGCTCCTAAGTACATGTCATTAGCCAACATTTCTTAGCTTATAACTGCTCTTGCTTTCGTATCAACAGGACCGAGTGAATCCAACGTAACCAACAATTTGCCAACAAATGAGGTGCAGGGAGTGTTTTCTAAGCCAAAAACAAAACCTGAAGGCTCAAAAATATTAGGCATTTCAGCTGCAGAAATAGGCACCCAAAGTTCTCCAGGGGATTAGGTAACCAGCATACGGAACCAAGGGCAAATGTGCAATGATGCCATGTCAATAAACACAGGTGTAAAGTTCATTTCCTCTAATAAGAACTCATTAACTCACACCTGCACCTTCTTCAACCCAACAGCTCATTTCAATATTCGAAGCACCTGCACATCTAACTAAAGTAGTGGACAAATTTACCCCCGCTTTCTTCACTGTGAGTGTTTGCAGTCATGTAACATCTCATGGTGCCTGGAGGCATATGAAAAAAGAAACAATTCTTTCTTTCTCAAGAACCCATAATCTGCACAAGCATATAGAAAATTGTAAGAAGATGGCACGAATATTTAACATACAGGTGAAGTAGAAAAAGGAGTCAAAGATAATTCCCAGGTGCCTACATCAACTGAATCAATGGTTCACTTCACCACATGGGGAATACGAGTGAATGAGCTCATGCAGTAGAAAGGGAGACACAGTAGTCAGTTCATTTGAGAAACTTCAGGACTCTGCCCAAGTGTGGAACAGCTATATGGACAGGTACAGGGGCAACTGAACCTGCTGATTAGAGAGTTAGGCGACATAGGTGTAAACGTGCAGCTCACTCCATGGAAATGCAACCTGAAAAGAGACAAGGGCAAAGGGGATAAGCCTGAGGAAAACCAGAATTTGAGGCCAAATGCCAGGGATCTAAGAGATAAAGGATTTTTCTTCTCCAGACCTCAAGTTAATTTGCATAAGTACTCACTACTGCATTATGAAGAAATTACTTAAGGGATTTTTGTTTTAAATGAAAATTTATGTACCTTGCAACAGAGACATGAAGTAATGCTTAAACACATGTCTATACTCTGCATTGGAGAAACCAGATATAAGAACATAGATTCATGGGCCAGCCCGGTGGCGCACTGCTACAGTGCGCTGCTTGGGAAGCGCAGCGGCGCTCCCGCCGAGGGTTCGGATCCCACATACAGACCGGCCGCTCACTGGCTGAGCGAGGTGCGGGCGCAACACCGAGGGTTGCGATCCCGTTGCCGGTCCCGGTCCGGTACGGGTGTGACAGTGAGGGTTGTGATCCGTTGCCGGTCACGAAAAAAGACAAAAAGGAAAAAAAAAAAGAACATAGATTCATGCTGTTTTCTGTTTGTTCTCCTTTATTCCACAGATTCATGATTAATCTACCAACCATAGAGTTGCCAAATGTGGTAAATTGGACAGTGATTGTACTCTTTAGAAACTTGGATTCTTTCATGTTCCCTGAAGGAGTTTTCCTTTTTGTTAAATCTTTGACTTCTCAGTTCTAGGTTCACTTTCAGTGGTGATAGGAAACTTGTCAGAAATGTCTCTTTTTACTAGATCAAAAATAAACAAAAATGTAGCATGAAAAAATAACCCATCAACCTTAAAAGCCCTCAGAGCACCATCTGAAAGCAAGACACGTTTTTTTTTTTTCTTTCTTATTCTCTTTCTGTGTTCTGATGATATAATCAATATTTCCTGTCCAAAAATGCAATATTCTCCAGTCTTAGAAACCCTTCAAGTCTGCATTTAATGTCAAGGTTTATTTTTTCATTTCCACGTCTGAAGGCTTCATCAACTTTTAATGAGAAAAGAACTATGGAATAAAGAGTTATCAGTGGCAGAGATTATAGGTGACAATAGTTTTTTATAAGAAAATTTAAATATTAGAAGAAAATGGGCCCTGCCACTAATAAATCCATATAAACATCTATTTGTATGTGAGAATCAAAACCCAATCTCCCCCTGTTCTCTTTTCAAAACAGATAAACATGTCTTGAAATGGAGATTCACTCTTTTGAGAAACCTGCATTTGATTTTTTTTTTTTTTCCTTTTTGTCTTTTTTCGTGTCCGGCAACGGATCGCAACCCTCAGTGTCGTGCCCGTACCGGACCGGGACCGGCAACAGGATCGCAACCCTCGGTGCTGCGTCCGCACCTCGCTCAGCCAGTGAGCGGGAACCGGTCTGTATGTGGGATCCGAACCCTTGGCGGGAGCGCCACCGTGCTCCCAAGCGGTGCACTGTAGCAGTGCGCCACTGGGCCGGCCCGAGAAACCTGCATTTGAGCACCTGATGTCTGCCAGACACTGTTACAGGTTGGGGGCAATACAAAGAGGAAGGTGGTAAACCCAGCCCTTGAGATCAAGATAGAAAGGGAGACCTGGGTAATCTGATTGACAGAAAGTCAGCGTGAAGCTGTGGGGCCTCAGGAAATTCTTCAAATCCATATATGCAGACCATGAAACAATGTCAAAACTGAACAATTCATATCACTGACATTTAAAATTGGAAGATGCTTACAGATCATCTAGAGCAATGTTTGCCAGAGTTTTTTTGACCCTTATTATCAAAAAATAAAATAAAATAGGCTCATCATGCAACATATGCCTGTTTATTTATTTTTTGACCACATGGGTAATTATATTACTTTGGAATACACAAAAATGCCAAATGAAATTATAAAGTTTTTATATTTTCTTCCACCCTTTAGTGGGTCATCTTATATACCCAGTCTGAAGACCACTGTTGCAGACTGCCTTCCTTAATTCACTGAGGAGAAAACAAGGGACTAGGCAATACGTTTGAACTGCACAAGCTATCCAACAAGTTAAGTGTCTGAACTATGAGCAGATACACACTAGGCCTCCTGACTCCCAGTGGTGTACATTTTCTCTTCCATAATTTACAACCACGTGCCGAACCTTGATCATGTCAGCAAGTAAATAGACAACATAGACAATATTTAGTAGCACTATACTCCCTGAGAGGGTCGAGAAGTAAGAATCATGGAGAACAGTATAAACGGTATTCTGCTAATCAAAAGGAGTTAATTGTCCTCTGAAAGTTGATCTCTTTGGAAAAAATTTACTTGTCAATAGAATCATTATTTCCCCCCCAAATTATAGACCGCCTCATGCTGTTTCCTTAATTTCTTTGCTTACCAATTAACTTGAGCTTTGTGCCTCTTTTTGGTTTTTTCAAGCTGTTCTTTTAGCTAGTGTCAAAAGTGTTGGTTCTAGTTCTTATTCAAAATTGCATGAACATGTCCTGCAGCCAGCCCTTTGGGGATCTTGCCCATGCTGGAATCATACTGTGCACACACTGAAAGGCAATCTTGTGCACAAACACAATTCAGATACACTTACTATTTTCTGTAGGCCACTTCCTGTTTTCTTTCAGAGTCCCTATTTATTTTAGGTCCCAGATATTTTTGAGTATGCTCAACTCCACACACACCCAGAGGTATGTACTCAGTTCTATTCATCATTGCCATGGGACCCCATAAATACCACTCGTACAACTTGAGTCCAAGATCTTAAATGTTCAACATAGTGGTTGCATTTAATGCTGCTTGTTTTTCCAGCAGAGATGGAAACAGAATGATCAGATTTTATTTTTGCTGAGAAAGAAAATGAAGAAAGGTTTTACCAGCAGAGGATATACATGCAAATTGCTTTGTATTTTTAACTTTTATGAATACCAGAACTAATAAAACATGTAAGATAAATACTTTAGCACTTATAATCAGTTTCGCAATTAACCGTAGTTTATTTGTTGTTTCTCTTACTAAATTTTGTATTTAGAAAGACTGTAATTGATTAATCCACTGTATATTTATTCCCTATCTATAATGGATTAAAATCCGAAGTGTGCTGGTAAAGTACGTATTTCTCAAACATGCCCCACAGTCTCCTATCTCTCTCCCTTTAGTCATATTGAATTCCCTGCCCCTGAACATGCATCCCCCAATTTTTCTCATCTTTCAAGACCCAAATGCCTCTGCATCCTTTAGGAGCATTTTCCTCATCCATCTTACACCTTCTCCAGCCATCAGGATATCTTTCCCTTTCAAGACTCCTATTTTCTTGTCGCCCACTACATTCTACCTAGTGTCAGATGTCTTGTGTATGTGTTATCTCTGTTAGGAGACATCGAGCTGCTCGAGGCCTAGGACTGGGTTTACTCACTCTTGTGTTCCCCATGCACATGACCAATGCTTTGCTCATTATAGGACCTCAGCAGATAAACAGCAATTGAGTGGAGGAATAGCAGATACTTGAGTAACTCATGAGTCTGCCTCCTTACCTGTAGTATTAGTGGAATCGTCTAAGTTTGGATTGCTGGGAGTAAGAAGCACATTTCCTGATGCAGGAGTTAAAGGGGAAGAGAAGGCAACATACAACGATTCAAGGTATAGGCTGGGCAAAGCATGTACTATTTTATCTTCCAGCGACTTGTTTAATTGGAGGTGTTGTCACTGTGTTATTCCTGCAATGAGCATCTACAAGTTATTCCTTCTGTCCATGCCTTCTTCCTTCCATCTACTTCTAGTAATTATAGCAAAACCTTATATTTATTAGTGTTTAGTTTGTAAAGCATGTTAATGAATATTCATTGTATTGCTTTATACTCAGATCTGTGAGACAGGTGGATGCTATCCAAATGAGAAAATTGAGTCTTAGAAGGGTGAACCATTGGTCAACACCTCCCATTTCATGTCTGCACCACAGCCCAGGAGTAGCAGCCTGGAAACGATGAAGACCCAAGAGGCCCTAGGGCCTAAGAGGCATGGTCCACATTGTTACTTTACAGTTCTTAATTTAAGCGACCAAGTCTAGTTTTTTGTGTGTTCTCTTTGGCTACTTTTTCATTTTCCTTTTTTTTTATTCTACTTACTTTGGGTCCATTTTTATGTCTCTCATCCAGCTTCTTGAGCTAAGCAGTCCATTTATTTCCAATCTTTCCCCCCCCCAATAAAATGCATGTAAGGCTATAAATTTTTCTCTAAATAACTATTTGGTTTTTATCCCATTGGTTTTGATAGGGAATGTAGTATATACTTATTGTCATTTCTTTCTAAATAAGCTAAAATTTCAAGTTTGATTTCATCTTCAACTTCAATTTTATTGAGAAGAATACATTTTAAAATCTCCAGTGGATACATTTATTTAGCTATGCTTTCTTGTTAATTTCCAATCTTATAATACTGTCACCAAAAGATATGACAATTTTATAATGTGATCCAAAAATGTGATTTGTTTGCTTTCCCTCTTTTTTCTTTTTTTCTTTCTTTTGGAGGAGGAAAATTTATTGAACTATTTGAAGGGAAAATGTATCATCAATTTTATTCCATGTAAGTAGTTTTATCTTCTAGTATTGCTGCAATTAAAAGAGAATAATATTAAAACAAAGAATACATTTTTAAACCCCTCAAATGTCCTTGATGATCATTGATCCCTAAAACTAAACTTACCTCATAGGACCATGTCAATTCTGGAAAGACAGAAAGAAAAACAGAAAAAAAACCCCACAAAAACATTATTTTAAAACATCTTTTAAAGTTAGCAAAAGACATTTATAAGCCAAGAGAAAAGTAACAAAACTTGTGTTGCACCTTTGGAGCTGTCTTCTAACTGTCTCAAGATGCTAAAGGGTCAAAAATAAGGCAAAATCTCTTTTTAGGCCCACATGAAGTCAAGTCCAAGCTATAGCAAGGGTGAGTTGATACTTAGCGCCAGACTGTTGGTCAGAGACTTGATCTCAAAGTGTGGTCCAAGGACCAGCATCATGGATATCCCTGATAGCATAAAAATGAGGAATTGTGGGCTTTATTCCAAAACTACTAAAGCAAAATCCACGTTTTAACAAGATCCTCGGGCGATTTGATGATTTGATGTATATTAACATTTGGGGGGCACTGGGTAGAGTTCTGAATGCAGATTCTTGGACCATTGTTGAGCTTTCAGCTGGGTCAAGTGGCTTCTAATGTGTGGGGAGGACAGTGATACAAGCTATAGATTAGGCACAGCCTGAGAGCAACAAGCCAGGCCAGGCAGCGGGCCGAGGAAGGGCAGCAAGAGAGAAGAAGAAGGGAAGTGGCTTCCTCAGGATGAGCTGCCTCTGCTGCATGGGCACAGACATCAGAATTCACGGCTGTCGATGTCCTTTGACCTGAAAGTTTGGGGTCTACAGACTTAGAAACATCCTTTTCTACACAGAGAAGACTTGAACCTCATAGCTTATTTGAAAAAAATTAAGTTTTTATTAGTAGAAGGTATGATAATGATATGTTTTAAAATGTTACTTTAGAAGAGTTCCCTGTCTAAAATTGAAAGAATATTTAAAAGTCTCTAAGTTTATCTTATGTTTACTTATTGAGAAAATTGGGTTGTCTTTATTCAAATGTCTACATACAGGTTTCATTTGGAACCACTATTATGTCTTTGTTCTGAACTTAAAAAAAAAAAAAGACTAAATAGAGTTGTTAATCCTAGTGGATTAATGAAATAATGTATAGGAAAATGACAGACCCATGGAAACTTCTATTTTTTTAAAAAAGAGTCCTTTCTACAACAGCTCTGGTAGAAGATCTTTGACCCTGAATGATCCATATGGTGGGGAAGTATCACACTCAAGTATCACATGCCACTGTAGGAGAGCTCGTGTACCTTGGAAAGATCGTGGGCTTTGGAATCAGAAGACATGCGTTCATGTCTGGGCTAAGCCTTTTCAATAGTGCTAGGCCTGACATATTTCTATACCCAAGCCACTTGTTTCGATCTAACGGTTCAAGTTCACTTTTGAAGTTCTTACAACAAGAAAATGGAGGGGACACATCTGGGTGGGAGGGGGGAGAGGGAGGAGGGAGGGAGGTTTCGGTGATGGGACACAATAACTAACTACATTGTATATTGACAAAATAAAAAAAAATAATAATAAAAAAAATTTTTTTTAACTGTAAATCCTTTTTTATCCTCCTGCATTCTAGTTTCCCTCTGGTGCTTCAAATATGAGCCCAAGAGCACTGACAAAGGAAAATGTGGTTTGTGGAGCCCCAGTACCAGCATCACAGAGCCGGTGAAAAACAGTCAGTCTGGAGATGAGACCCTAGATTGATGACTGCCACTAAGAGCGTGCAGTCCCCCTTTTTTGTCACACATGAACATCTGAGATCCAGGGCATTTAAGAGAATTGTCTAGGGCCCCACATAACAGCAGCACAACTAGTTCTAGCAGGCACAGGTATCTAAAACATAATGACAATTAAAATGAACATTTATAAGGTAGAAAACTGTCAACTTTGAATCTGTTTCTGTGGCAGAGAATTTTATAGATAATAGATTTATTTAGATGAGACATTTCTGAAATGTATTCTGGCTTGTAAAAGTCATACTAATTACAGTAATTTGTGTTATTTAATTAATTACCAAGCTATAGAATTATGACTATGTATGCTAATAATACCAAGGGTCGAATTAACTTTGTTGTTTAATTTTAATTACAACACCAGCCGCTGGTCATATACATGCACTCTTCACTGTTTGTTGTTTATATGACATGTTCATATCCACAAAACTTAAAAAGTGTTTAGCAGGAGTATTGCCTGTTAGCATTCTAACGGACACAAGGATGGAACCAATAGAGTGACTGGGGAAAATATCCTTTTAAAAAACCCCTCTGCCCTCAATGAGTTTGCACAGCAGTGCAGGAAGGCAGGAAATAAACACATAAATATATGAAATGTCAGGTAGTAGTAAATAATGTGGAAAAAAACAAAGCAGAGTATGTGAGTAGAGAATGATGAAAGGGGATAACTTTGACAGAGTGGGTAGAAAAGGTCTGTCTGATCATGCAGCATCTGAACAGATATCTTTAGGAAGGAGGGAGCCATGTAGATATCTGGAGAAGAGCTTTGCAATCAGTGGGACCTGGAAGTGCACGGGCCATGCGGTGGAACGTGCTTGGTGTTGGTGGTGGGGTCACATGGGGGGGGGGGCATGGCAGCAGATAAGGCCAAAGAGTCCTGGGGAGGTGAGAAAGGGGCGGGACCAGCCTCTGCAGAGCCTTTT